AAATAATAACTGGATGCAGAAGTGATCACGTAATAAAACTGTGTGTCCACACACACCCACACACACACACACACACACACACATATATATATATATATATACATATATATATCATATATATATCATATATATATCATATATATATATATGTTGGTAAGTTGGTAATAGACCATAATTTCTACAATATTCTATAAATTCTACCGAATGTTTGGCGTTAATATGTTTGTAGTTCGTTTTTTCGAGAACATATAGTTTATTAAAATTCAAAATAAACTTATTTTTCGAATTCATGCTGCAAATAAGGCCATATTTCGATTCCGGATGAATCATCATCAGTGCAGTTTAGTTTATATAGGAAAATATTCACTTTGTCAAAGTGAACTTAAATGAAAATTAGGTGTCAGATTTCTTTATTGGCTGGACGAAGATGGACAAGATAACCAATTTTTAACAAGTTTTCTGCAAAACAATATTTGGAATAGAACCCTGAAAGAACAAGAACCAAAAACATGCCATAAAAGAACCACCTTTCATTCTCAAACACGATTATATGAAAAAACATATCCATACACGCAACTATATAAGATTAACTAAGAATCAGTTCTGTCTAAAACATTCTGGCCATATTGCGTTTTAACACCTACCCACAACCAATTCACCAGCGGTCATACAATATATTATACCAACATACACACTGACGACGTGATAGCGTAATGGTTAAAAGCGCCTGGTCCTGCTGTTGCAGCAACTGAATTCGAATACAATCATAAAAAATTTTTACGATCCGTAATTTTCACGCGTATTTATATATGATGTGTGTTTGTCGTTAAAACCTTTGAAGGGGGTGCACAAAACACATTGACCTAAATGCTGTTTAAAGTAAAAAAAAATCTTCTAAACTTACGCTACATTTCGTTGAGATACTTGCCTGAAGATTAATTGTCGGTTAATGAACATCAAACAATTTGAAAATTACTGCAAGAAAAAACTTTATATTGTGGTATCCAACATTCAAAAGAAAGGTAACGATGTTCAACCTGACAACTCTCAGCCGTCGCTTAAGAAAAATAGATTGTAACGAAAGAAAATTCATGGCTCGAGCACGTCAGAGTGAAAGATTGGTCTGTTAAAAACAGTAGCAGCAATCATCTTGAATAATGTTTATTACGGGTACTGTTTATTGTTAATTAAGTACAATATTTGATTACTGTCTATTGTCAATTATTTTGTTTTATAAATTCGTAATTCTTTTTGTGTTTGTGTGCTTTTGAGATGCTGATAAAAGCGCATTACAAATACTCACAAAATAATAATTATAATAAGGAATGCGAAGAATTCCGAATCCAGACTCGGGACCGAATCCAGGGATCCGCGGATCCAAAGTTGAGGATTCACCATTTTACGGGTCAAAAATTTTCGATCGGCGGGCGGAAAAAGTGAATCAAAATATCAACAACGATTATGTAATAAATACCCATGGATATACAAACTCATTGATGTTTACGCGATTTGTTTTAGCAAAACTGCCGCAAGTTTATTATTTACAAAAACAAATTTTAATTTTTGTAAACTTTTTCGTTTTGAAACAGCATTTTTAGTTTTAAGATCGTATGCAAACTGGATCTGGATTCGTCATGAATCGGATTCGAATCTAGATACCCAGGATCTCAAATTCTTAGATTAGTCGCATTCCTAGTAATAATAATGGGAACACTTCTTTTATTCAATCAAATATCATAAAACATACAGAATAATAATAATAATAATAACAATAATAATAAATAATGATTAAAACTGTTGTATAAGCAATTGTTATTAAATATCACTACATTTCCAGCATTGTTTAACTTTCCTATTTTACGTATTGTAATTTTATTTTCATTATTTTACTTATAAATGCAATACACAAAATTTTATTTAAAAACATTTTATTAACATAAATATAATATTAATACGGTAAGATATAGAACGATACAGAAAAAGCTTTTTCCGACAATTGCCATTTTCTGCGTCAATATATTGATTTTTGTTTTCAAAATTCTATTTTTGTTTTCAAATTTCATCGCAACAAACTACCAGCATATTTTAAAAATTGCCTAAGCTTAACATGTGACTTGAACATCAGAACGACAAGTCATTTAAAGACATTTTACATCCACATAAACTAGATGATAACTTAGTGAGTTAGTGAGGTGATCGATAAATAAAAGCTATTTATGTGAATGATAAAGTTTTATTAAATAAAAACTAGATGTGTGAATGATAAAGTTCTATTGAGTCATATGTGCGAGTCAACAATGTTTTATTGAATCAGACTGTGTGAGTCAACAAACAAAACATTCATATATTGGTGTTACAATGCATACACAAAGAGAAGCCATCAAATCTTACTTACAATCAACACATGCAACTCCAATAACCCGCCAAATTCTTGACAACACAAAAAATATTTATCAAAACACGAACACAATACATCTAAAAATTCCAGATGGTGTCCTAATAAATTTCAATAAACCCCAAATAAACAAACAAAGAATTATTTAATCATTACCAACTCGACGCCTTAATACTAACTTCAGTAACAATGAGGAACAAAGAAATGACAACAACGAAGATGAAGAATACGACGCCAAATAAGTAACTCACTATGATAAAGAGCTAACCATGCTTTGTTTGAAGAAACTATATAAACCACTGCACTGAAGATGATTGTGAAAAATCGAAATAAGGCCTATTTGCATGATGAATTTGGATAACAACAGCTTCATTAAATTATCATGATGAACATGGACCATAACTCTATTTTCAATAAACTGAACAATTTCTAGAAAATTCTGGTAAAAAATTAAAAAGACAAACTTTAAATTGATTAATGCCAACAATTCGGTAGAATTCATAAAATACTGTTTATATATATACTGATTATATACTATATTATTACTGATTATATATATTATATCTATCTATATATATATATATATATATACAAGTTATAAAATTAGAAAAAACATTACATACATCAACCAATTATATATATATATATATATATATATATATATATACATATATACATATATTAGCAATAGCAGGTGGGAAACTCACCTTATATATATATATATATATATATATATATATATATTATTTATATTTTCGGCATTACTCAACTAGAAGTTGACTAATGCCGAAAAACCAGTGATCTTTTTAAATAATTGTATTTATGATAGTCTAAACGCAATATTAAGTTTTTTATTTAACCTTAATGAACTTCATCAAGATGATAAAAGTCTCGTTAGAGAAAATTTGAGAAATTCAACTACAAGTTGTATAATGCCGAAAAGCCTGTGATATTTTAAAATAAGTCTCGTTAGAGAAAAATTGAGAAATTCAACTACAAGTTGAATAATGCCGAAAAGCCTGTGATCTTTTTAAATAATTGTATTTATGATAGTCTAAACGCAATATATATATATATATATATATATATATATATATATATATATATATATGCCGGTAGAAAACCGAATTCTTGACAATATGCAAATTCCACCGATTTATTAGCGTTTATCAACTTCTATTCGAATTTTTCAATTTGTTTTAGTAAATTTTTATCGACAAGATTGAGTCTGTTTAATTAAAATTGAAGCTTTATTTTTATTAACAAACATTTTATCAAAATTATTGCAGATAAATCTATCTCGACGTTAAACCGTCATCGTAAGTGCATTATTTATAAATTTATTAATTAGTATTATTACAGTTTTAAAATTATTAAGAATATATACAAATAAATTCGAAAAAGAAACACGAAATTGTAATGAAAAATTTTTAACAACGAAAATTTAAAATTGCTTAAACGATAGTTGTCAAGGCGGAAAATACAGCGTCAAAATTGTGAGGCGCAAAATTATTTAATTTATTATTATTATTACTAACACTATTAATATGATATAATAATATTGTAATAATAATAATAATATATAATATAATAGGTGAAAATTTCCGACCTGCTCCCGCTTATTTATATATAAATGTTATATATATATATATATATTTATATTATATATATATATATATATACAGTGCGGCTCAAAATGATAGGAATAGTGGATTTTTTAAATTTTCTTCAAAACAATTAAGCCATATTAAATAATATTTATACAGTAAATATCTAATAACATGTAAAACACAATAATGTAAACAAATTTTTTAGAGTTATAGGTCTTAGATAACAGCATAATAATGATTTTAATGATTTAAATGCTGGGTCAAAATGATAGGAACAAATGAAAAAAAATTATTTTTCAAAGTGTTTAGTTAATAGAATAAGTTTCAATAGCTTATTTTGTTCCTTTATTTTCAATAACACTTAGACACCTTGCATTCATGGATTAACTAAAAGATTTTAACAAATTTTCATCAATTTTGTCCCACTGCATTAAAATTTCATTTTTAAATCTGTTAGATTTTTAAATTGTCTTCTATTGGCATAAACTTGTCTAACTAAACACCCCCACATGTTTTCAATTAGATTGAGATTAGGTGATAATGCTGGCCATGGTTAAACATCAATTCTATGAGTCTCTAAAAATTCTTTAGTGGCTTTGGATGTATGAATTGGGGCTTTGTCATCTTGATATATAAATTTTTTTCCAAGTTTTGACTGCGCAAAAGATACATTGTGAAAGAACATTTATATATGCCTGAAAATGTTAGCGTCCACGAAGAATTAACAGTTGGCTTTTTCCTTTAAATGAAAAGGCACCATAAACCATGACTGACCCTCCTTCTTGTTGTCTTTTAATAAATCTTCGTTTCTATTTTCTCTTATGATGCCAATAGAATTTTTTGCCGTCTGGACCATCAAGATTGAATTATTTTTCATCAGAGAAGATGACAAATGAAAATTTGTCATCCCAGGTAATATGATCTTTTGCCCACTGCAATCGTTGCCCTTCATGAAATTTTGTCAATGGCAATGATTTGATTTTTTTCTCAAATTCCTAATAATTGCATTTCTTTAGACATCTTTTTACATTACTGATACTACAGTTTAACTGTAAGTCATTTATCAACTCAACAGAACTGCTTGTACTCTCAAAGACTTTTTTAATTATAAGTGCCTTTCTTCTTTTTGTTAGTTTTTGCGGCCTGCCAGTACTTTTTTTGGTTCCAGAAGTCAATGGATTTTTACAAAAATTTAAAAATACTATTTTAAAAACGTTTAATGATTTTGAAATTTTGCCCAGACTATAATTTTTGAATCTTAATGTCAAAATTTGAATTGTTTGGTCCCTGTTCAGTTTTTTCCCTCTACCCATAATGAAAAACAATTTCAATCAATTTCAAATCAGTCTAAAACGCACTTAATGTAAACAAAACAACGTTTGGTAAGATCTAATGTGCATACTATTTTTGAAACTTTTTTTTGCAGCTTAACGGCGTTTCAGAATGATGCAGCTATTTAACGCCCTTGGATCATTAGAAACTGATTATTTTGTTGTGACATCTAAAAAACTTCAAATTCTGTTGATCAAATCTGTCTCCTCCACAAATTTGACTTCCTGGCTTATATTCTAGAAGAGCAATTCTACATTTGATGGAACCCCGAGTTTCCTTCTGATCTGATCGTATTTTTCACATTCAGTTGATATATGTTGAATAGATAGTTTTACGTCACAGGCTTCACAATAAGGTGGCTTTGTTTTGTTGAGGATCCAGGAATGTGTGATTGCTGAGTGTCCTATTTTTAATCTATTGATAACAGACTGAAGATGACCATTTAAATAACTATTTTTGAGCTTTTTTTATTTACTGATGGCATACTTAATTTTAAGAAATTTGATGTTTTATTCCACTCCTACTGCCATTTTTCAACAATAAGGTTGTTTGTAAAATTTTTTAGATCACTGGACAGAATTGGAACTCTAGGTAATGGCATCGACTTAATTTTAAGAAATTTGATATTTTATTCCACTCCTGCTGCCATTTTTCAACAATAAGGTTGTTTGTTAAATTTTTTAGATCACTGGACAAAATTGGAACTCTAGGTAATGGCATCGAATGAGCTTGAGAAGCCATCCAATCTACCTTTTCATTTCCTTCAATTCCAATGTGGCTGGAGATCCACATTATAATTAATTTTTTGTTGCTATCCAGGATATTATGAATATTATTTTGCATTTGAATTATTAATGGATTTAGAGATTTGTATTGCTTCCGGGCTGCTAGAGTAGACAAGGAATTTTTGAAACTGCTGCTTTAAACTTAAAAATAAAATTGTTCCTATCGTTTTGTAAAAATCGTATTTTTTGAATAATATATATTAATATTTTTTTAAACAATAACTTACTCATGTTTCATTGTTTGTTTAAATGTTGAAAATTAGGGGTAAAAATTTTAATTAATTCGACACAATGGTTTTGAAGAAAATGGAAAATATCAACCGTTACTATCATTTTGAGCCGCACTGTATATATATATATATATATATATATATATATATATATATATATATATATATATATATATATATATATACAACATTTATTAAAATTTCGTTAATATGTGTATTGTTTTTTCTAATTTTATAACTGCTGATTTTTCTCTGAAATGTTTTATTCAATTACTGTGCATATATAAATTTACTTTATTCAAATTCATTTTTAAAAACATCTTTTTGTTGTGTTCGACAGCATTTCCCAATAAATTGTGTAAATCTGTTCGTAATTTCATAAGTGATTGAAAAGTAGTAAGAAAAAAAAAACAACGTCTAATAGGAAAAGCAAAGGCAGGAATAGTCTACAAGAATTAAGGAAAAGTGAGAATGAGAAAACAATTGTAGAATAGATAACTTATGTTTGGTTATATTTTATGATAAACATTTAAAAAATAGATTAGATTGTTCAAATTATTAATTATTTTATTTTCTTGATTCGATAAAACACAAGGTTCAATCTTTCTGAAGTTTTGTTTGTAACACAAAATATTATTTAGTAACTATAAACAAATTAAAAATATGTATATAAACATAATTAGGCTAAGTTTATTTTAATTATTATTGAATATGAATATATGTGTTTTACCCAGTGGTGCACCAAGAGGAATGGAAAGTTGGCCCTCTTGGCGCCTGATCATAGGGGCCACAAAATGAATACTAAAACACATTCAACTTTAAAAAATTTTTTGGTTTTCATTAATCATTGACTTCATTGATCATTGATTTTTCATTTCTATTAGTACATCACAAAATTTTTGAAGAAATCTATCCAACACCATTAAAACAGTTTCTAATGCCAACCTAGCATCGAGATAAACTGGCTAGATTTTTCAGATTTATTACTGTTTATCACGTAGTTGTATATACAGATTCTAAACGTTATTGGTAGCGAAACTCTGACAGAACTTGCAGTCATGGAAGCCTATCACCCTCGGTACGCCACTGGTTTCGTATAACTCACTTGGGTGGGATCAAACAATAAAACCTAATCAGGTTGAATCAAATTACGTTAAATTGTGATAATTGGCAATAAATTACATCTTAAGTTATTAAATAAATAGTTTAAATAAATTGTTAGTACATGAGTATGCCAAATGAGGCTTAAATTATTCATATTATTCTGGCGACAAAATCCTGAAATCAAAATTTAAAGAGCTTGATATTAATACCTTTTTCAATATTCATTTAACAGCTGTCAATCGAACGTTTTAATCGGTAATCCAACCTATGCGAAATAACACAAATAACACGAAGATAAATTATTATCAACCAACATAATTAGTATTGTTACAAGTTTGAGGCAGAGTATTTTTATTTCGTATGATAGCTAATTGTGTAATTATTGTTTATTTCCAAGCAAACAGCAGAAGTGTTTTACAATTTCAAATTTTTTTTATTACAACTGATTAAACCAGATTTTGGCAAGTGATAAAAATCAAACATGGCGACCAGAAATAGAAATCGATGACGTCAACTATGGCCGACTTGGTTATGCATAAGAACAACAACGACGAAGACGATGTCGATGGTGAAGATGGGTAAGTGAGGAACGAGCGTACACTTTAATAGACATTCTAATACTCTCTATATATTGCTGCTTAACTCTTTCAGTGCTTCACTATCTTTCTTTGTTGACTCGTATTCTTTCTCTCTCTCTGCAACTTCATTTTCGTGTTTCATACGCTGCCCGATGTATGCATTTTTCTTCAGTGAAAAACTTTTTGTATTTTGTTGATAACGTTACGGATTGTTTTGCTTGACTCTATCATTTACATTAAACAGGCTTAGAGACAATTTTTCTACATTCACAAATTATATTTTGATGATAAAACCCGTAAAAGAAGTGAAACGAAACAAACACTCAGGCATGTCACCACTACAAACTGTATAACATACGGATGAACATTTATGGTAACATGTGAATGTCAGAAGAAATATGCGGAAACTAACATACCTGACGAGACATCACGCTCTCAGCTCAATATTTTTATTAAATCAATTCATGACGTCATCAGTGCCAATAACGTTCTATGTATAAGTACTATATGTATATATATATATGCATATATATATATATAATTATGTCTATTACCAACATATATATATATATATATATATATATATTTATTTATGTGTGTGTGCGCGCGTGTGTGTATACATATATATATATATATATATATATATATATATATATATATATATATATATATATTGTACAATGGCATATATATATACATATAAACGAATATATTATATTTAGGAGATATTGCAAAAGGAGTAGGATCCCGTTGCAACACAACAGTAGCTGCATGCAAAAGCTTGCAAGCACCCGTACAGTACACAGGTACCAATACATATGTGTACGAATTTGTATGCCTATTTCGTTAGGTGTCGTAACTGTTACACACACACACACACACGCACACATATATATATAGAATTTAAGTTTTAATAATGAAAAATTAAAAAATTGTTTTTATTATATTAAGAGAGGAAATTAAATTTTAATTAATTAATTAAAATTGTAGCGGTGGAATTTATTAAAAATATATAAGGCGTGGCTTTATTCATTATTTAATATTTTATATTATATTATATAATATATATATTATATATATATATATATTAATTTATATACACGCAAACAACAATGCATTTTTTCCTAATTCAAAATTTTGAATAATACAAGATTTTGAATAAGCAATTTTTTTCCAAGCAGAGCTCTGAACAAAACACCAAATCTGATCCCTTATTTTTTTACATCAAACTACTGTTGAAAAAAATAAAAGTATATGCCAACTACAGTTTAAATCATCTAATATTTTAACAATTTATTAGTTATTTTTACTTTTCAAATTACAAATTGTTTTCTATTTTCTCCATACAAAAATATTATATAGCACATATGAATCGTTTTTAACTAATTGATTTCGACGTTGACATGGAAGCATTTGCATCAATATTAAATCACCTGTTCCCAGGAGGTTGGCTGCAGCTTACTCAAAGTTTTTCAAACATTGTATACGAATATATGATGTACAAATGTACATTATCTAACAATTATGCAACAACCAGAAACAATATATGTAAAATTTAACACAAAATTTTGATTGAGTCGGGAATAACGACCAATTTATCGAAAATTCACAAATTTTTGCTTTTAAACCAGAGCTAACATAAGATTATTAGTTTGAAAAACCTTTTAGTAACTATTTTTCAATCAATTTGCGGATTTGTTCAACTACATTGAAACAAAAAGAATTCCAAAAATCAAAAAAAGAATGTGATGGGATATGGTAACATATAATTTTGATGAAGTTTCTATAATATTTTTTTCAAAGACGGGCACTTTATGATCCTAACAAATTTTTTGAGACTTTTTTTCATAACAAACAAACAAACAATAAAAGATTTTATCAAAATATCAAATCCACATTGGTGAACATTATTTTATTCATAAAAGTATTTGTAAGCTTTTAAAAAATTAAATAATTGAAAAAATGTTTTCTTTATTAGATTTAACCAGAAGTGGCGTAACATGCAAGATATTTATAATATTTTTAAAGAATATGAGCTCATCAGAAAAAAAACTATAGCCATATATTAAATCATGGTTTCCATTTAATACAAAATCAGCTCAAAATATCTTTGCACCAAAATAGGCCTTAACCTTTGTTATTTTTTTTTATATATAAAGACAAGAAGTACGGCTTCAGCCATTTAAGCATATCAATTCCTTTTATTTTATTCTATCGACTAATTTTAACATATCAACGTCATCTGGATGTGAGAAATTTGATGAATATAAATTGTATGCATCTT